GTAAATTTTATTATATTTGAAAATAAAAAGAAAATTAAAAGAAAAGGGTATCTATTAAAAGCGTATGTAATTCTGGTAAAATATACACAATATAATTGGTAATTTATGTGTTGTGACCTTTTGGGGCTGAGATTTTATTTTTCGAAGAATTAAACGGCAAAAGTATTTTTTGATAGCGTAAACAAAATTTCCACGAAGGATTTGTTAATTTGATAGTTAGAGTCATTATGAGAAATTATAAAATGATTATTTCTTTAAAACATATACTTTATCTTTTACATTACCTATTTACAATTAATCGTTTATATTTGCAATACAATAATGAATTTAATATAACACCCAATTAGGCACATTTATTAGTGACTTTCTGGCAGAAAAACTTCTTGTCTGTTTAAAAATTTTGAATCAAATAAATTTTGATAATGTAATTGAGTTTTGCAATAAATAAAAAATGTGTGCATTGTTTATAAATCTAAACCGTTTTCTTTAGTTAAGCCGCCGCCAACAAAATCTGGTCTTGCTTGTGATAATAATGGAGTTACAGAACAGGAGGGACTAACCTATGCCTGCATTAATAAAAAACTTGTCGAAATAAATTCAGCTAAAATAAAGGCCTATGATAAAGGTAGGATATTGTAATAAACATTGCATTCTCATTTACATGATTTGCATAATGTGTTACAATATAAGTAATAATGATTGTATTTTGTTAACATACGTTCGTCTGGATTTTCATTTTATGAAATTTTAAATAATTTTTTTAGATGCTCACGGATTATGGAAAATACCTTTTAATTTCAATGGGGAACATTGTCTGTTGTCATGTTTACCTGATAAAAATGGACCAAAAGTTTGTGACAAAGCGTGTTTAAAAATAATTGACATAACAGCGCATGAACAAGATTCAAAACATAAACCTCCACCCGGCGTTCCGGATTATGGACAAAATGAGACAAATCCTGCTTGTCCTGTGTGTAAGTGTGATGGAGATAGTAACGATGGTGGCGATGATGATGGTTATAATGATGGTGATGACGATCATAATGATGATCCCGGTAGTGGCGATGACGATGGTGATGGCAGTGGTAGCGGTAGTGGTGACGATGATAACGATGGTGATAATGATGATGAAGGTGAATCTAGCGGAGACGGTGAGTCCAATGGAAGCGATGAAAATGACGATTCCAGCGGAGACAGCGATGAGAATGATGGATCAAATGAAGGTGACGGCAATGAAAGTGGAGGTAATGAAGATGATCCCGTTGATGATGACAGTCACGGAAGTGGTGATGGAAATGACGGTGATAGTGGAAGTGGCGAAGGTGGCAACGGCGACAATGATGATCAAGGCGGTAATGACAGCAGTGGCAGCGGTGATTCCAATGGAAGCGATGAAAACGACGATTCCAGCGGAGACAGCGGCGAGAATGATGGATCAAATGAAGGTGACGGCAACGGAAGTGGAGGTCATGACGATGATTCTGGTGATCATGAAAGTGGTGATAATGACGGCCATGGAAGTGGTGATGGAAATGATGGCGATAGTGGAAGTGGCGACGATGGCAGTGGCGATGATGGCGATAACGATGGTGATGGCAACAATGATGGCAGTGGTAGCGGTGGTGATGATGATNCAGTAACGATAACGAGAATAGTAACGAACACAACAACAGTAACGATAACGAGAATAGTAACGAACACAACAACAGTAACGATAACGAGAATAGTAACGAACACAACAACAGTAACGATAACGAGAATAGTAACGAACACAACAACAGTAACGATAACGAGAATAGTAACGAACACAACAACAGTAACGATAACGAGAATAGTAACGAACACAACAACAGTAACGATAACGAGAATAGTAACGAACACAACAACAGTAACGATAACGAGAATAGTAACGAACACAACAACAGTAACGATAACGAGAATAGTAACGAACACAACAACAGTAACGATAACGAGAATAGTAACGAACACAACAACAGTAACGATAACGAGAATAGTAACGAACACAACAACAGTAACGATAACGAGAATAGTAACGAACACAACAACAGTAACGATAACGAGAATAGTAACGAACACAACAACAGTAACGATAACGAGAATAGTAACGAACACAACAACAGTAACGATAACGAGAATAGTAACGAACACAACAACAGTAACGATAACGAGAATAGTAACGAACACAACAACAGTAACGATAACGAGAATAGTAACGAACACAACAACAGTAACGATAACGAGAATAGTAACGAACACAACAACAGTAACGATAACGAGAATAGTAACGAACACAACAACAGTAACGATAACGAGAATAGTAACGAACACAACAACAGTAACGATAACGAGAATAGTAACGAACACAACAACAGTAACGATAACGAGAATAGTAACGAACACAACAACAGTAACGATAACGAGAATAGTAACGAACACAACAACAGTAACGATAACGAGAATAGTAACGAACACAACAACAGTAACGATAACGAGAATAGTAACGAACACAACAACAGTAACGATAACGAGAATAGTAACGAACACAACAACAGTAACGATAACGAGAATAGTAACGAACACAACAACAGTAACGATAACGAGAATAGTAACGAACACAACAACAGTAACGATAACGAGAATAGTAACGAACACAACAACAGTAACGATAACGAGAATAGTAACGAACACAACAACAGTAACGATAACGAGAATAGTAACGAACACAACAACAGTAACGATAACGAGAATAGTAACGAACACAACAACAGTAACGATAACGAGAATAGTAACGAACACAACAACAGTAACGATAACGAGAATAGTAACGAACACAACAACAGTAACGATAACGAGAATAGTAACGAACACAACAACAGTAACGATAACGAGAATAGTAACGAACACAACAACAGTAACGATAACGAGAATAGTAACGAACACAACAACAGTAACGATAACGAGAATAGTAACGAACACAACAACAGTAACGATAACGAGAATAGTAACGAACACAACAACAGTAACGATAACGAGAATAGTAACGAACACAACAACAGTAACGATAACGAGAATAGTAACGAACACAACAACAGTAACGATAACGAGAATAGTAACGAACACAACAACAGTAACGATAACGAGAATAGTAACGAACACAACAACAGTAACGATAACGAGAATAGTAACGAACACAACAACAGTAACGATAACGAGAATAGTAACGAACACAACAACAGTAACGATAACGAGAATAGTAACGAACACAACAACAGTAACGATAACGAGAATAGTAACGAACACAACAACAGTAACGATAACGAGAATAGTAACGAACACAACAACAGTAACGATAACGAGAATAGTAACGAACACAACAACAGTAACGATAACGAGAATAGTAACGAACACAACAACAGTAACGATAACGAGAATAGTAACGAACACGACAGCAGTAACGAAAACCACAGCAGTAACGATAACGAGAATAGTAACGAACACGATAGCAGTAACGAAAACCACAGCAGTCACGATAACGAAAATAGTAACGAACACGACAGCAGTAGCGATAATCACAGCAGTAACGATAATCATGGCAGTAACGAAAACCATAGTAGTAACGATAACGAGAACAGTAACGAAAACGACAGCGGTAGCGATAACCACAGCAGTAATGATAATCACAGCAGTAACGATAATCACAGCAGTAATGAAAACCATAGCAGTAATGATAACGAAAACAGTAACGAAAGCGACAGCAGTAACGAAAACCACAGCAGTAACGATAATCACAGCAGTAATGAAAACCACAGCAGTAATGATAACGAAAACAGTAACGAAAGCGACAGCAGTAATGAAAACCACAGCAGTAACGATAGCAACAGCAGTAAGGATAGCCACAGCAGTAAGGATAGCCACAGCAGTAAGGATAGTGACGGCAGTAACGAAAGCGATAGCAGTAACGAAAACCACAGCAGTAACGATAGCAACAGCAGCAAGGATAGCCACAGTAGTAAGGATAGTGACAGCAGTAACGAAAACGATAGCGATAGCAATAGCAGCGACTAATGTTTGGAGGATGACTTCACATACTTTGAACAATTATAGTTTCTTTATAAAAGTTGTTGTAGATTATAAAATAATATCATCTTTAAAAAAATGTACAAAAATTTCTACCCTGTAAAAATTTGAGTTTGAATAAATCAGAATAGTATTATATTGTCGAACTGTTGATAAGTACGCGGCGAATGGCATGAATTCGTTTATAGAGGTCAGCAGTAATATTAATCAAGTTCAGTTGTGGGTGCATACGTACCTGTGTGATACCGATGGATTAAATATCTCTTTCAGTTCTAACGATTTAATTTCAAACGTGTATCATATTTCTTAACTTCAAGGTTACTATTCAAACTTATTTCCTTTTTTCTAAAAATGACATATTATTTTGGGGACGTTTTAAAATAAAAATAAATTGTTAAGTAGGCAATTTTTTGAATTTTAGAAGACGTATATCCTTTCAACCAACAAAAGAGAAAACGAATTTTTTGGGATCGTTCTCATTTGCTTACGCATTGCTAGATACATGTACTTACCTCAGTATGCAATACAATTATAAAAAAACCGACAGACAGACACACCAGTTATCCTATAAATGTTCTGTTTTTCATTGATTTATTTACATTATGCGTCCGTGTTTGGGTCACAGAAATCATATGTAAACTAAATTGCGATTTAATCGGTCCAGTAGATTCCGAGCAAATTGACTGTGACAAAGGCACAGATAGACACACGAGTGATCCCATAAAGGGTTCCGTTTTTCTTTCGGACTGACGGAACCCTAAACTGACATATTTATTTTTTGGTGATCATTCAACTATGTGTTTCTAAGATTGTTTCAATCCATTTTCTGTTTATACATATACCTAACTTTAAATATAAGAAGATGCTTTTAATCCATTGGTAAAACATTCTTTTTAAGCTTATCTCCAAGACAATAGCAAACAATCGTAGAAAAGGTGCCCCCTAATATATATATGGACTTAATAGAAAATATATTGTATAATTAAAGAACTTTTTTACTTTTTCAAAAATGAAATTGTTTCGCCTCGTTCTGACAACAAATAAATAGAATAAAGATTTGACTGTGCTGCCAATTAATTAATTATTTATAGGTAACTGATTTTTTTAAACTTAAAGCGTGAACGATTATACCTTAAGCATATACATAGTAATAAAAATGAGATAGATATTTACGTAATTTGATTGACCCAACTCATTGTCAGACTTGTTTTAAAAGTGATCTGTATCAAGGCCAAACAATTTTTTGTTGATGGACCAAAATTAAACAGGTGTTAATTTCAGGGAAGTCATATATTGTTTATATATAGTAAATATATACGTTTAATTGAATTTTTATTTTTATTGTAGCACGAAAATTATCTAAAACTTGTATAAAATGCTCAATATCAAAAAAAAAAAACAAAAATCTGGGTTTACATGAGCACAGTTTTAATTGTTAAAATTGAGGAACAGTAGTTGAAATTTTGTAATTTATAAATTTTAAATTTAATTATTAATTGGTATTAATAAATTATTAAAGTCAACTTCAAAGTATAAGGTATCAGGGGCTACTTATTTGGAATTGAATTTGTATTTTCACTTATTTCACTAGTATAATAGTAGTCTATTATATTGTATTGTCCGAATGTTCCAGAAAGTAATAGTTTGAAATAAATAGCAAAATCATTGTAAAAAAAGAAATAAAATATGTACATAATTTATTTAGCTAACGGTATCTACTTTAGATGCTATTTCTAACAGTAGCATAAAGAAGAGGGGAGTAGCCCCCGTCACTCAGGGATAGTAGATAAGTAGATACCATTGGTTCCATGGTGGAGTTCGTTGAATTATTTTCACTTTGCTACTTTTTAGGGTAGTAGGAAAAGAGCGAATATAAAGGTAGGAGACGAAAAATTAGAAGAAGTGGCAGAGTTTAGGTATCTAGGAAGTCAGATAAGTCAGGACGGAAGAAGTAGTAGGGATACAAAGCAGAGAATAGCGCAGGGTCGAGTCGTCTTCAATAAAAATAAGTCACTTCTATGCTCGCGAACAAATTAATTTAGAAATTCTAAAAACGTTGTTAAAGGTATATCTTTGGAGCACGATGATGTACGGGTGCGAAACATGGACAGTGGGCGCGGCGGAAAAGAAAATGTTAAAAGAAAGAAAACTAAGTTAATTTCGCCAACTTCGTTGAGGTGCGTGTCGAACTAGTCTTAGGGCTGACGACCTTATGATGATTCTTGTTACGCCGTTGTTTCGCAGAAGAATTATTACCATTTACAGAAATATCTTTACAAGGTGAGAATGTCCCTTGCACCTGCATGACGCAGTCTTGCGATACGTAAAATCCAATGAGATCAGGAACATTGGGCGTTCCGGTGGCAACTTTTGAATTTGCAAACGGAATTTGTTGTTGTCCACGTAATTAAGCTACTTATTACTACATTGTTTTTGTTTGCGTGTAGGTGCACTAAGATATTTTTACGTATGTGTATTTGAAAAAGTAGTCGCGGAAATACATATTCAATGAACTACAAAAAAAGTGGGCGTTGGTATTACAATATATTTTCTGTTTCTTTAATAAATAAATGTACTACCAATCGTTGAAAAAATGAGCTATCCATGTAGGTATAATACACACGATGATATTTAATGTTGCGTGACGTAGAATAACAGCTAAAGTGCGTAATTGTTGTTGTTGTTGGAATAGTTTAAAAGGAAAAGGAATCGTAGAGCTTTCCATTAAAGGAACCTTCAGTACATGTGCTAGATTTGCACTCGATAAGTTTTTTTTTTTTTTTTTAATTCCATCCGATATTTTCTAGTAATCAGTAATCAGGCCGATTAAAATATTGATTATATGAAATTATATTGTTATGCCGTAAACTGTGGTAAAATATCTACAAAAGGTACAAATTTATTAATTATCGGAACAAATATTAAGGAACTTACTATTTTGTTTTGATAATAGAGCTGGGGACTATTATAGATTCTAAAAAAATAATCGATTATTTTAATTAATCAAAATTCTGGATGTAAAATTAAACATTTTCATTGATCATCATCATATTGATTAATAATACAACAGTTTGGATGGAGAAGTGAATATGGCAGCCAGATGGCAAAAACTAGTACATCAATGTTAAATATAACTAACTATCTAGGAATGTACTATATTTTACAACTACACATAATAAGTAGAAAGGAAAGCTTTTTCTGGATATTACAAAGATGATGCAAAATAATAAAAATAGGAATAGTAGAAATTATGAATATTGCTTTGAAAGGAAAAATATACGAATAAAGGGATAACAATCTCTATACATTTGTCCATACATATATATCTATTATCAGTTTAATAAATTTACAAAATTCAGTTAGAATGCTAATAACAATGTAGCCTATTCTTTTATCAGTTCCTTATCAGAATGACTTTGAACCATAAACTGGGAAGTCGCAGAAAGATCACTACTAACCGATTTTTGAATTAATTGTGATACCATTGTTTCTAATTAACATACATAACAATAAAATACTTATTGCATAAAGGGAAATTTCCTTAAAAATGGCAGTTAAATTTCGTATTTATTCAGTTTTTATGATTAATAAAAAATTTTATAATT